AGTGTTCATGATGCTTGACAGGAGTTGTGGTGTAGGAAGGTAGGAGCGTTCAAGGCGCTGAAGTTTGCTTGTAGACGGCTGACATCAGCGGCTCGCTTCCACTGCATGTGTCTAGCGCATCGGATGATAAGAGTCAGACCCTATTGAACCGAGACAGTCATTGCTCTTAGCTTAGACTGCTGCCTCGGCTTCGGCAATCGCCAACAATAATAAGGCGTAAAAGTCGTAAAGTATTATAGTATTGACAAGGGCGTTACGCAAACTCGTGGCATTCGCCTCTCGGACCGAATCCAGATAATACGCCAATAGAATAACCGCACTGAAGCGCTACAATACATGCCTAGGCAAGCAAGTTTATAACCGTCCCCTCCTGATATCCCTCAACGCCAGAATGTCCGCTCGCCGGCATGACCATCAGTGTGCGTCGCAAAGTCCAGATCCATCGTTGGCCGAATCAACGGCTTGTGTCAATCGGTGACAATTCTTACTCAACGCCCTCGACTTTCCTCAGAAATTCCCTGACACGGCCAACCTCCACACCCTCGCCTTCTTCGCTGTCCAGAGCCGCCACCAGGCCTTCGAGACATTCTTCAATCCTGTTCTCTTCTACCTTTGTGCATAGACTGACGACCTTGCGGTACATCATCTCCAGTTGCCCGTCCTTCTCTTTCAGCATCTTACTCCGTTTGAGTAGTGCACCGTTCGCGTTCGTGTAGGTGTGTAGTCGTTGTTGGAGGACGGAGGCGGCGGGGAGTTGCTGGACTGCATAGGCCTGATATTGTGGCTGATGCGATACCTGTTTGAGCGTTGCAGGGTCCAGTGGAATGGTTGTCGACAGATAGGGGGCTCCATCTGATGCGCGGCAATCCAGATGGTCGCCTGCTTGCCGGAGCTCGTAAGGCAAGTCGTCTTCTTTGATGAGCATGCCTGCACCTTCCGCATCGGCGTATCCTATCCTCTTCTTCTCGTGCAAATCAATGTCCCCTGCATTGACGGAGAGCATATGCCGTTGCGGCTCAAGCCAACGCTTCAGATTCGATATCCGCTTAGCGCGATCTTGTCGTAAACGTAACCGAGCACGTAGTGACTCTAGCCTTTGTTGCTCCTGCTTCTGTTGAGTAGATAGTTGGGTGATCAGCTCATTCGTTTGATCTATGGTGTCTTGTTTCAGACGCGCTTCTTGCGTGAACTGCATTGAAGCGGACTGGAGAATGCCATTCATCACTGTAACCATATTAGCGGATTTCTTGTAATAGATAGGAATTCCAACTCACAGGGTTGAATCTCTCGGCTAGTCTCTTCGACCTTGCTCAAGGGCGCCTTGCCCTTGCTGGGGCTGTTTGCGGCAATTATGACTTCGCCGTCGCCGAGATCGCTGCCAACACCAAAGTCGATCGGTCTCGTGCCTTTGTGATTGGGTATGGTCGGGTCCGCCTGAACTTCCATGAGCTGAGAGATGATGTTGCGATTGCCTATCCTCGCTGCGAGATTGAGAGCTGTATTGCCGGCTTTGTCGCGTGCGTTAACCATCTCTTGCATAAACCTCATCAATCCTATTGGTTTCGGGTAGTTGCTGGTGTCGTGGAAAGAAGGCACCTGGTTGGCGCCAATGTTGCTGCGTACGAGATACTCAAGAAGTGCCTCGAGGTAGTACTTGCTGGAGGCCGCGCGCCCTTTTATGGCACAGGTCACCGCGATGTGATGCAGTATCGTCCGTCCCTGGGAGTCGCGGAGTTCGATAAGTGGCGCCAGGATCTCGAGCGTTTCTGGGAAGCAGCTATGGTCCAGGCTGTTGTTGACGGAGACTGCACTCATGAGTGGTGTTTGACCTGAGGCATTTCCTCTGAACATATTCGCTCCTTTGGAAACCAGTAGCCTCATCAGTGACACGCGGGCCAGTGTGGCGGCCCAATGTAGAGCTGTATTTGAGGTGTTGTCGATTGGCATGTCCAGATCTGCGCCGGAGAGGTGAAGTATGGCTGGATGGTTCGTGAAGTCTGTCCTAGTCTGATCCGCGAATAGATCCGTAAGCATGGCTTGCTTCTCTTCGTTGTGCTTGGTGTCTGGGTGCGGTAGAGGTGGCAGGGCTGAGGGAACCTCGCCATCGGGAAGCGCAATGCGCTGTCCAGTCTGGTGTTGGTAGAAGCTCTCGCTTGGTTCTGTCGGCGAGCCAAGATCGCGCATGGACATGTCTGCGCCGTTGGGTTGTGAGTAGGATTCATCTTGGGATGTTCGCATGCGCTTCCTTGGCGGCTCTTGCGGGTCTTCAAGGCCTGTGCCATAGGCTGAGTCGGTGTGTCCGTTCTGCCCGCTGAAACTACGCTCCGATGCTACGCTTTGCTGGCTGCTGGTGCGGAACGATTCTTGGCTGGCGAGGGGACCTTGTGACGGCCGTGCCATGCTTCTTCGGCCCTGCGAGGAGGAAGCGGGTCGCGGTGCGGGTGAATTCAGTCGCGCGACCTTGTTCATGGCGGCAAGTGCGCTGGTGGCTGTCGAGGAGATGTTGCTGAAAAAGGTACCGCCGACACTCTGGCTAGTAGTGCGGCCGTCCATGCTCTGGGTGTAGAAGCGCTTCCTGTTTGCTGCCATGGCCTGCTCTTTGGTGGGCGTCTCGATGCCCTGGCCCTGGCCCTGGTTGCCATCGACGCTGACGTCGTAGTCCAGCAGCGGGCGCAAGACATCCTCGACACCGTACTGGCGACAAAACTCTCTTCCGCGGCGGTAGCAGATCCATGTGCCCTGGTACTTGCCGTAGCCGCCCTGGACCTTTTCGTGTTCGCCGTTTAGTATCTCCTTCTCGAGGACCTTAGTGCGCTTTCCTTTGTCAACGCCAGCCACCTTGAGGATCTGGGTGGCATTGAGCCAGCCGTCAGAGCGTCGGCGCATAACAGCGACCCGATTGACTTCCATTTCGTAGACAGAGACGCCCGAGTAAACAGCCTAGATTGTCAGCGACTTGGTGCGACTGCGCAAATGCGGTGGTGGTGGTGCCTACGGTGTATATCTGGGGCTTCTCCATGGCGTGCTGCTGGTAGCCGTTCATGTCGGAAAAGGACCGGTTGAAGCCAGCGGGCGCGGCCATGAGTCCCTGGCTGTGGGGAGAGTTGGCGTACATGGCCGACTGGGGCGGCGAACCTGCGGGAAAGGATAGCGACGAGCGCGCGACTTGCATTATGTCAGCGCAGTGCTGGCGGGCGTGGTGATGGTGACTGTACGGGTCAAACGATCATGGGGGCAGGCGCGGACACAGACTGAGCGCAGCGTGGGCAGGTGCAGTCGGGGTGCGCAGGCGTGGGCCGTAAGCGGAAGCCTCGGTGGAGGGTGCGATGGGCGATAGGCGATATGCGCCGTATCAGGACTCGATGTTGATATGCGGGTGGGCGGGGGGTGAATGTGCCGTCGCTCGTGGAGACTCTAGAGGAGTGGAGATTCCAGAGGTCGCGTCTACGCGTCGCGGCCAATCAGCCGCCGCCCGAGTTTCCTTGCCCAGAGCACGGCCACGACCCGTCTGCTACCTTCCGGCTCGTCTCCCGGATGCCTACGCCATTCCAGCAGAGCGCGTCACGTCTGCGGCCAGTCCATCTGCTGCGTGCCCTGCTGCGTGAGGCTTCGTACCTGCCCGATGCGACAGCCCGCACCTACTTCCGCCGCTACATCGTCAGCCGATTCAAGGCCTATCAGCCTAAGCAAAATGCGACGGCTTCCTTCGACGTCCAGGCCGTGGAGAAGTACAGGCACAGGAGCTTCAAAAGGCGGCAGATAGCGATTATCAATGAGCGCACACGACCAATGCTCAGGAAAGGGCAGAAGGGTCTGAACTTCCTGCGCCGGGCCAACCTGGGCGAGATACCATGTCTGCAGAAGATTCTCTTCTTCGCCTATGGGCGCATGGGAAGGAGGAAGTACCTCTTGCTGGAAAGATTGCTGACGCCAGACCACATCATGGACGGCGGCGCACTCGCACCGCCCGTCGAGCCAGGGCAGGCACCACTGCAGAAGCTTTATTATAGCAACAAGCGCTACCTGCAGTATTTCGATGCGCCCAAAGCCGCCTCCAAGACCGAGTATATCATCAACATCTCTAGCCGCTACTCCCGATTGCGCGCTGTCCTCAAGTCGCAGTACCAGAAGGGCATCTCCATACACCGAGGGATCAAGCGTCCAGCCATGAAGACGCCTATCAACAATGCCTGGGAGCGACCCATGCCGATCAAGCGCGCCATCAACAATGTCCGACGCTGGTATGCCGAGACGATGACGAGGATACTTCCTCCACTGCCGATCGAAGAGTGGGATAACATACATGCCATGATCGTTGGCGACCGAAAGATCGATCTGGTCCGACGGAGAGGCCGCGCTTCAGTATTGAGTGCTAAGCCAGTCATAGAAGACGACTTCTTCGCCCACACAGTAGAAGCAGGCATTGCCTTAGACAAGCCCAGCAGGGCAGATATGCCTGCAGGCGTGCAGCGACCGCATACCATCAACCCTAGGTTCATGAAACGCATGTATACAAAGCTCCTCATGCTCTGCTGCAAGGTCGAGTACGACGACGAGCAGAAGCGATGGAAAACAATCTGGGGCGAACCTATGAAGTACATTAAACCCAGCCTTTACAACGTCCCTACAGATGAAACGCTCTTTGCGGGTGTTGATGCTACAGGCAAGATCCCGAAGACGCCCAAGAAGCATCTGTTGGAGAAATCACAGCATGTCCAGCCACGGAATGCCGAGGGCGAATACATGCGTTTTCCCTTCTTTGCCGAACGGCTTCCAGAGGAGCACCCAATACGCAGGGAATTGGATGAGTGGAAGAGAAAACGTGCTGCCGCGAGAGGACAAAAACGGGAAGTGTCGTAGCCCTTGAGGCGGGGCACTAAGTACATACCCCACAAACTTGGAACGCGGTTAGTAGGGCGCGTCTTACATGTACATAAAGTAGGCAGCACCCCGCAACCTACCTTGACCACAGTGCATTGAGCAACGTTTTGACAAGCACAATGGCATCTTCAAGCGCAACAATTCGCCACGCGACCCGTGAAGGTAGAGTATCCCCAACCTACAGTAGAAGCCTACTAACAGCCCGTGCAGATGTTCCTACCATCCTAGCCCTTATCAAGGAGCTTGCGCTCTACGAAAACGCCAGTGACAAGGTCGACTCAACTGAAGAAATCCTGACACGCACCCTCGCACACTACGATCCTTCCACTTCGACCTTCTCCGAAGGCTTCGCCCGTACACTCCTCCTCAGCGACCCCGACGGCACGGTAGCAGGCATGGCTCTATATTTCTACAACTACAGCACATGGACAGGCGTGCCAGGCATCTACTTGGAAGACCTGTTCGTCAAGGAGAGCTACAGGAAGAAGGGCTATGGCAAGAGACTCCTTAAGGAGCTCGCTGGAGAGGTGCTCAAGGTCGGAGGCAGGAGGCTCGAATGGAGCTGCCTGGACTGGAATGAGCCTAGTCTGAAGTTCTACGAGAGCGAGATCATAGGGGCGCAAAGGAAGACGGCATGGGTAGGCTTGCGTGTGGATGGCGACGCATTGGAGAAGCTTGCAAAATCGTAAGGGCAAAGAGTCGGAATTCATCGCATGCTCTCTGAAACATGACTCTGATTGTTGTTTGCTCTTGGTTGCCCTGTACTGCATGAAGGAGCGTTCACGTGAACACGCGCTCCAGGTCCGTGCGCTACAATCGTCACCTCTGTCTTACTCCAGTGGCCGTGCCCGCGCTCTTGCCTTGTCCGATCTGAATAATCCACCTCTGCAGTCTTCTCCTACCTGTAAATTGCAACACCATCATGGCACGCCCACCATACATGGTTGAATCATACGAGACAGTGAAGTGGTGGGAGACACTATGCAGGTAAGTTATCAAGAGTGAGATGCAATTGGTGAATGATACTAATTCCCTCCAGGTTGTTGCGACTTGAACGGAAGAAGGACACGCTCGACGATTACCAACAACTTGTCGGTCGCCATGACGGCCTCCAAGATCTCATGCACGTCATCGCAGAAGCCGACGGTTCTCCAGCGCCCACCATGGACTTCATCAAGTCGAACTTGGGCCTAGCGCGAGACTTTGTCGAGGAGTTTGGGAAAGCTACCGAGCTGTACAACATCGCAGTGTGTCGCGTTATCGGACCTGCCATGTACACGACACTGCCACGTGAAATCCGCGACATGGTCTACGAGTACCTGACCCCACACCGACTCGATATCACCCTTCGGCCTTGCTATCCTTGCGCAGAATCAGATCTACTGCACGTATATCGCAGGCAAGATTACGATCTATACTTTGCGCCACAACCTCGCTCACGGGACGACTGGCTTTGCCCTGAACATTATTGGCGAGACAACGTCATCAGTCCCGGAGTAGCTCACGAGCTTATGGAAGCCTGGTATCGAAATAGCACCTTCAACATGTGGGCAGACTGGATCTGCGAAGGATGGCCGGCCGAATGGCTAAACACATTGCTCAACAACGATCGGTTTGGGGCTAGGCTGCGACCTCGGGAATTGATCACTAAGTTCGCCTTCGAAGTTCAATTGAGCTATAGAAGAGGAGAAATAGACTCACATTGGCAAAAGAGCCTATTGGAAGCTCTCGACAGCTTATTCATACTCAAGGAAGCGACGCAGATAGATCTCAGCGTGAGATTTGGATTCGCCGAAGATCCGATCGCAGCGTTAAGAGCATTCCTTGTTCTCATACGTCCTGCCTTTCTACGTCTACGAAAGCTGGGCTATCGGTGCACGATCAAAACCGTCAGACGAAAGCCCAACCCTTTGAGTAAAGTTATTGACGAATGGGTGCAAGAGCTCGAGACGGAGGTTAAGGGAAATGATAACGCGGGGCTGATCGGTGTCTAAGGATCGTGGGCAGTATGCTGGGACGGGGATACGTTGAGGTGCATCCTCAGCAGCTTCTCGACGTATCAGCTTTCCAGGTTCATCATGCTCCGCGAGACTCTGTTACCACAGAGTGAGTCCGTACTTGTTAGATCCTGCCATAGCGCACTATTTGGACATCACATCCAGGGTAGCAACCAGACTTTGCTGTATCTGGGGATTTCACGATGGCGACCATACCATTATCTAGCACAAAATTCACCAATGTCCAAGAGGTTACACTTCCCATCTCTCTACTTGCTCGGTTAGGCTAGGCTACCTAATCTAACAGGAATAGCCCAGCTTACGTCTACTCCTAAGCCCCCATCGTCAGCGATTACCGACGGCAAACCCACTCATCAAAAACATCGACTGTCTAAATTTTTGCCTTCGGTTTTCGGAATCCAGCGCTGGCCGGCCCGAGATGAATGGAGGTTTCGGGGGGCTCGGAACTCTTGGGCCGTAGAAGGACCGACCCGTCAGTATCGATCAAGATGAGTACGCGTGGATCATGACGGCAACTCTAACGATCAACAGTGTGCGAATGTAGTTTCACAAGACGGAATCTGGTGGGCTGTGCATACACAGCACATCTCTCCAAGTAGGAAGATGCGGGAGTGGATGAAGTAAAAGTGCGCGCTAATTTCAACATGACAGACACATCCACTGTAGGAAGGATCTTCATTCTACGACCATATTCACGAGATACCATAGCAAAAGTAGCGGCCACTACCCATTCATAACAACAAGTTACAAGGTAGGGGGTATCTTTACCTAGAGTTTTCGGCATAATACCCAATCTACGAGTTTCCTCGTGGTGGCCAGCCGGAGTTTGCACCGCGCCATCGCACGACATGCGGTTGATTAGTTTAAGACTTTCCCATTCGAGCCGATGACAAAGAAAGAGGCGGCTTAGAGGGCATGTCGGGTTCCACAAAATTCAGCCACGAGCCGACAACTCCAGAAATCACAAGGATTGGGGGTATTCTCTCCGCTTCGGAAACATCACCGGTCCGAAGCCGATCAATTGTAGATTAACGGGGAACTTACTTACCTTTCTTAGGCATAGCAAGTCGAATGGAACATAGAAGCCTCACTACTGAATCGAGTCAGCTATGCTGACCACTTACTTGATTGCGCTGTCCTTGCGAATAACCTATTTCGGACAGGTAGGACCTTGTGTGCTAGCAAGGTAACACACGGCTGAGCATGTACTGACAGTCAGAAGGTAACGGCCCTTCTGGTCGGATTCGGACGCTGACACACTTCCACGGCTGGGATTCAGGCCTCATGGATAGGTTCAAGAATACCTGCACGCGTAGACATGGGGTAGTCAGTGTATATGAGGAAGCTGCTCATCGATGTTAAGACACCACCAACGAACATCTCAGCTTCCAAATCTCCACCACAATCGTTACCGCCAGTATGCATTCTCAGTTCAATCCTCCCCGGATCGGGAAGAGTGCCATGCTCCTCCTGCTCTCCTCCTACCTTTCGAGCTACGCATTTGCGACGGCAGTCCCCGAATCAGTCGACGTTGCCGTGATAGGCGCAGGACTTTCTGGCTTAACAGCAGCACGAGACCTTCTCCACGGCGGCAAATCCGTCATTGTGCTCGAGGCCAGAGACCGTGTCGGCGGCAAGGTCTACAACCACCCACTGAAGAATGGCGGCGTCACCGAAGTAGGGGCCGAATTCGTCGGTCCAACACAGGACAAAGTGCTGGAGATGATCTCCGATCTGGGACTGCAGACATTCGACACGTACAGCGAAGGGAAATCCATCTTGTGGAGGAACGGCACTCGCACGGCTTATACCCCTGATCCGGCGCTTGGTGGTTCACCGCCAGTGGACATGGAGTCTCTGCCTCTGGTTGCCAGTGCGCAGAAGCAACTGGACGACTGGGCAGCTGAGGTCAACACGAGTGCACCATGGACGCACCCTAAAGCTAAGGAGCTTGACAGCATGACGTTCCAGCAGTACATCGATCAGGCAGCACCCCACGCGGACGCCGCCCTCGTCTTGACCACAGCCAGCAAGGCCATCTGGGCTGCGGAGCCACGAGAACTCTCAGTCCTATACGTCGTCGCATATATCGCAGCAGGCGGAAACGAGACAAACGTCGGAACACTTGCCCGACTGATTGGTATCCAAGGCGGAGCTCAAGAGAAGCGAGTCGTAGGCGGAACAGGACTCATTCCAGAGCGCCTCGCCGAGAAGGTCGGACACGAACACATCGTCATGAACGCCGCCGTATCAACCGTCACCAAGACATCCAACGGCTACAAAGTAGTCTCCCGAGCAGGCACTGTCCATGCAAAGCAAGTCGTCCTCGCCATGGCACCTCCCCTCCTCCGTCAAATCACCTTCTCACCCGCTCTCCCCACCACCCGCCAACAGCTCAACCAAGCAATGAAGATGCCATCCATCGGCAAAGGCATCCCCATCTACAGCACCCCCTTCTGGCGCAAAACCGAAGGCCTAAATGCCCAAGTCATCTCCGACAACGGTTCCACACGCGTAACCTTCGACTCCACACCCGAAGACAGCAAATTCGGCGCCCTCCTCGGCTTCCTCCTCGGCGACGAAATGCGCGCGCTCGACGCCCTCACCCCGGCCCAGTGTGAAGAGAAGATCCTGTCAGACTACGTGCGGTATTTCGGCGAGGAAGCAAAGACCAACACGGAGTTTGTGTTGCAGCGCTGGGATCTGGAGGAGTGGTCCAGAGGAGGACCTGTGGCGGTTGCTCCGCCTAATGTGCTCACAAAGTATGGTCAGGCGCTGACGATGAGGGCCGAGGGGTTGCATTTTGCGGGCACGGAGACGAGTCCGTATTGGACTGGTTATATGGACGGAGCTATCCGGAGTGGAGAGCGGGTTGCTAAGGAGATTATGGGGACGGGGTACTGAGACTTGCGAGGATTGGGGTAGTAGTCATGGTGGTGGTAGTGGTAGTGGAGGGGTTACATCGTGATCTTGCCGTTCAAATCTGTAATTATAACCCTACTCCTGTCTCCGGACATCCTTAGTAAAGCAAATGGGATACTCTTTTCAGCAAGACGGGGTCATGTCATGTTTTGGGTCGCCGGAGAGCAAGAGTCTAGGTTCTTAGTTCCCAGCGCCATATCCGGGGAAAGGTGTTCGTGATCGACAGGCCCGCGCGGAATATACTTTCAGTAGCCGGGGTTGCTAACCTGCGAATTGCTTACCTTGACGCCAGATCGACATGTCACGGTGAGCCTCGGCTCCACCGTACACCATGAGGTTTGTGTATAATAGGAAGCCGTAGGATGTTGTATTTGCTTTTTTATCACCTCAGCATCATTCTGACTCGTGTTTCGCTCTTACCATCTCATACCCGCTTCAGGCCATTGATTCAATCGCAAGATACTCATCGACATCATGCACTTCTCACTTCCCCTCCTTCTCCTCCCCGCCATCGCTTTCTGCGCGCCAGTTGCGGAAATCCTGCCTACGGCACAGGATGTGATTCAGTCAGTGGTCAACATCCATAGCGCTGTTCTCGAGCTCGATCAGAAAGTACAAGCCTTCCAGGGCGGTTCGTTCGAGACTGCCTTTGTCGAAGGCAAAGAAGTGCTCGCTGGTGTAGCGAAGATCCACGAAGTAAACCGCGAAGGCTTTCGACGAGCAACCCTAGCTCTACCGCCATTCTCCATCAAAGATACTACCGATCTGATCAACACCGTCGTAGCGACTGGTAGGTTATCATCACGGCCCTTGCTGCACAGACAGAATGCTAACGCTCACCGTGACAGTCAACGTCAGCATCCCGAACGCGACCAAGCACCTCCAAGAGAAAGAGCCCGTGTTCAAGGCGAACGGCTTCTCAGCTGTCGTTATCGCCAGTCTGGCGCTGTTGGAATTCGACCACGACACGTTCAGCGCGGCAGCAGCGAAGAACTTCAACCTCGCTACCCCGAAGCCGAAGTTGGACGAGGGTATCGCGGCGGCAGCGAACATCCACAAGGTTATCCAGGATACCATTGTGTTCTACACTGTGAACGCGGTCGTGTAGAAGGGAGGATTGTATCCCAGGTGGTGTACAGCGGTGTAATGTCCGTTCATGATAGGTGCCACGCATGTGCATTCCGTCGGAAGTCGCGTCCGTATCAATACAAACACGTGCCCCATGTATCCACCTGCACCTGCAGCACCGCACATGCGGAAAGAAGTAAGCATGCCACCGATGACGTACCAGAATGATCGCCCACCGACCTTGTTTCTCCTCCACAGTCTAGATGCCGCTAGCTCTCCCGTAGCGCTCCATGCCATCATCCATTGTCAGCCTCAGCCCCAACTTTTCGGGCTCTGTGATCTCCAGACTTCCCTGTTGCACATCACCCCTCTTGTTGTTCCTGCCGAAGTAACAACAACTCCACGTTACACTCGCTACACGACAACCCCCCAGCGAAATTCCTCACGATGGGCATCTGCGGCAGCAAAGAGAAAGCGGGCGAGTCAACCGAAATGGCACGACCCTCACAGTCCCAAAACGCAGCCTCAATCGCGCAAACTCAACAAAACATCCCCGTCGCCAACGAAGGTCCCACAGTGAAACCGCGCCGCTCCCCCGACAACCCCATTGTCTACTTCGACATTGCAATCGGCGGCAAGCCAGCCGGCCGCGTGCAAATGGAACTTTTCCTTGACGTTGTACCCGCCACATCAGAGAACTTCCGCCAGTTCTGCACAGGCGAGGCGAAGCGCGGCGGCGGGTACAAGGGCAGCACTTTCCACCGCGTTATTCCCAACTTTATGATTCAGGGAGGCGATTTCATGAATGGCGATGGTACGGGGAGTGCGAGTATCTTTGGGGGCGATTCGTTTGATGATGAGAATTTTGAGTTGAGGCATACGCATCCTGGGCTGTTGAGTATGGCGAACTCTGGGTACGTTGAACTTTTGTGTGGGATGACGGGTGGACCTTTGGCTAATTTTTGAACAGTCCCAACACCAACGGTTCTCAGTTCTTCATTCTGACTGCCGCGACGCCGCATCTTGATCGCAAGCATGTCGTATTCGGGGAGGTGCTGGATGGTATGGATGTTATAAGGAAGATCGAGGCGACGAGGACTGGACCTGGTGACAAGCCGTTGAGCGATGTCGTTATCGCTGGATCTGGGCAGCTGTCAGGCGCAAAGCCATTGGCCTAGGAGTTGATGAATGCGTGAAGGTAATAAAAGCAGGTCGATTCGCGGTACACAGGTATCCATGTTTTGAAACCGTAATGATAATGTAATACATATACGCAAGACAGCGCAACTTTGGTCTGCCTCGAACCCTACAATGCCTCAATTGTTATTGTTGTTCGTTCTTATACTAATGTAGACCGCAGCGCACCTGTTCAGTTCTTTCCCTATACAAGACACCCCTGCTATTGTACCAGCTCGCCCAGCTCCGCCATCTGGATCCGCATAGCTTCCTCCTCCCAGAACTCCGCCAGCTGCTCAGCTCCCCTCCTACCACCCCACTGCCGCCCGCCTTGGTCCATATCGCCTTCGACTCCGTCCATGAGGCGCCGAAAGCAGCTCTTAAACTTGGGTTCGTTGAAGTGGTGGTAGGGGTGGTCCGGATTGAGCCATGCTGAACAGATATAGCAAAAATGTGTTTGGCACTGCGCGCAGGTCTGCAGAGATACGAAGTCAGTATGTGTGCCACGTGCATTTTATGAGGGTCGGAACTTACCATATGATTGCAGCCGTAACCTTTCTGGCAGGGTACAGAGCAGTATGGGCATGGTGTGGTGTTCTTCATGATGAAGTTGAGCGATGCTTGGTCGTCCTCGGTGAGCTCTGTGACATTGCGTGGCTCGCAGCGTACGAAGTCTCCGTGCCACGATGCTAGGCAGATGACACAAAAGGCAAGGGTGCAATCTTCGCAGACCTGCAACCGCTCCATGCCTCGCACACCAACGCCACGCTTTTCCGGACCGCTGTCAATCACGGTCTCTTGTGGTTGAGCTGGGCCCTCGTCGTCTGCTTCAGAGTCCGAATCGTCCATCTGCGTTACGTCCGTAATCTTAGGGTATTTGTCAGACCGCATAGCGCCTTGACACCATTTGCGCGGACAATATACGATGTTCGGGTCGGATTCTATCTTCTTCTTCCGCTTGATCTTCGCGTATCGCTCGACCTGGTCGCGTGATATAGGGATTTGTAACAGCTCCTTGGGTGAAAGTAGCCGGTCCTTCTTCTTCCCACTACTACCGCACTCCGTGGACATGCATTTGATGTTATTGACGTTGCCCTCTGTTATACAGCTGTCGTAGTATTCTTGCAGGCAGTTGGTGCAGAAAACATGGCTACAGCGGGCCATGCGGTAGCAGGCAGATCCCTTCTTCGGCTCGAGACAGACTCCACAATCGAATGTGTCTTTGTCAAACAGCTCCTTCTTCATCCGCCGACTATAGTCAACCAGCTCCTTCTGCATGGACGAGGGTAGCGTGAGGTCTTCCAAGCCAAAGGCATTCTCGGCCTGTTCTTGGAGAGAGCTGATGTACGAGAAGAGTATGGAGCCCCCTCCATACTCCTCCCAAAGTGTCTTCGCTTCGGTTGTCAGTCGGGCCTGCAGATCCTCGCGGATCCATGAAGGCGAAGTTGACAGTCGAATTACAGGCGGTAGATGTTCGGGATATTCGGCAGGCAGTATAATTTCGAGACGCAGCGGAGGCAGGTATGGGAGTCGTTCGACATCTTGCTGTGGCTCAAAGGTGATAGGTAGAGGCTTGGCGGGTGCGACGAGCAGTTCGAGAGAGGCCGAGTACGGATCGCTATCGTTGATGACCAACTCCGGGTAGATGGACTGCAGCGTGCTGAGCTCTTCGGCGCGCTCGTCTTCTAGGATCAATTCGGTCATGGCGGCAGATGGTAGGAATGCCGCGTTTCTATCGGCGAGCGGGTTGTATATGAAAGTGGCGGCGGCGGAGAGAGGGCGGAGATAAGTCGAATGCGGTCGCAACAAAGTGTGAAAAGGGCGTGGCGACTCTCTTCTATCGATAGCGCAGAAAGGCAAAAGACCCCTTGAAGAGGCCCATGGTGAGTCAGGCGCTGGCTGCAATCACTGCGATTTCATAGAGGCTTTCAAGAGCCAGGCCGTTGCAGCAGATACGAGCATGTATGTCGCACAATCCCATCACCGAGGTATTTCGCATGCCAAGGCCGACAGGGTACCGCCGGGATTGCGCCGTCATGGACACGGCAGGTGCACCCTTCACTCTTGACACGCTTCACCTCCCACGTGAAGTTGCTATGGAGGCCCCTCCGCTTGCGTCGCTGTCCCTGACGCATGTCCACTATGTTGGTCTCATCTACTGACAGCCAGAGCCGCTGCTAATCCGCCCAGAATCCCGCCGACCGCGTCTCCTACCTCTGCGCATGGCTTGCGCTTGTGCCCCAGGGACTCTGCGTCGTCTATGCGACGCTGATATGGTCAAATCGCGAGATTGAGATATTTCTCATGTTCGCAGGCCAAATGGCGTGTGAAGCGCTCAACTGGGTTCTGAAGAGATACATCAAGGAAGAGCGGCCGCGGGGTAATGTCGGCAAAGGATATCATGTGAATGTAGTACTGATAATTTTACAGAAATGCATGGAAAGGGCTACGGAATGCCCTCCTCGCATGCCCAGTTCGTCTCCTTCTTCTCCGTCACCCTAGGCCTGTTTCTCCTCTTTCGGCACGTCCCACACCCGACCGAAACCCACACCCCCTTCTCCTTCGGCGGTCGCGTCCTCCTTTCGCTTCTAGCAATGGTTTGCGCAGGAGCTGTAGCAGCAAGCAGGATATACTTGAGCTACCATACACCAAAGCAAGTGGTGGTCGGATGTGCCGCCGGAGCCCTCTTCGCTCTAGCTTGGTTCGGCTTCACCACCTTCTTGCGGAAGGCCGGTTGGATAAACTGGGCTCTCGAGACCTGGGTCTTGAGGACGTTGCGCGTGCGAGATCTCGTAGTACAAGAAGATCTCGTTGATTCTGGCTGGGCACGCTGGGAAGACCGAAGGAAACGGCAGGTCTTCCAAGTCCAGGGTAAGAAAAGCAGGTGAGCTCCTGAAATCTCTGTATATATCACTACGGTACGAGGCTGTCATACTCGTATCGGCTTGTCAATACTCAAATAGATGTGTAGCGCAACACAAAACAAGATTGGCGACTAGGCCCGCTTGCAAGCCTCTCGACATTCTTAGCTCCCGTGCGCCGTCGAGATCACCAGAGCTTCTCTCCGCGGAGTCAGTTTCGTTCGTTCAACATCTCAGCCTCCAGACAAGCATGTCCCTAGTACCAATCACAGATCATCGTCATGACATCTGTAACAGCCACCAACGTCAGGCTAGTCGTGGCCTCAGCCGTGTGCAACGGCATATTCTTGCTCTTCCAACATTTCGAAACCTATCATCCGCCGTGCTGCCTTAACAAAAGATATCTCCAGTCAGCCGTGGCTGAAGTTCGCCATTCACAAGCGATGATCCCCACAGTTAATGGTTCGGACTATATGTGGACCCTTGACGTGCATCTTCCGTCACAATCGTCATGCTTCCGCCATGCCGCTGGCTATGACAAACCCGTCAACCCGAATGATTGACCGCTATGGTATAACGGCGGCCGTTAATTCCTTTTAGGTCGTCTTTTAGGTCGGGTATCCCCAGCTTAGGCGTCCACGTAGTAATTGTCGTCCTTCGTCACCATTTTGTATAATCTGTTTTGCGAATACTTTTATCGATATACCCATCCCCAGTAATCTCTAATCCGACTTCATCTTCCGACGATGCCACGCATGAACACCTACCGCGAGCCCAAACCCCCACCGCACCGTTCCCGCAGCCACCAAAGAAGCCAAAGCCAAAGCGAAAACAGCAGTCCCCTCCCACGCAATGAATCGGACTACGACGTACCCGCCCCGGAACCGAAGAAACATCTCAGCAGTCTAGAAGGGCACCTCGTCGCAGCGAGTGGAGAGTTTGTTGGCACATTCATGTTTCTCTACTTTGCTTTTGCCGGTCAGCTCATGATCATCAACCAAGCAAGTGACCGGTCGATTCTGAATGGGTTTGCGAGCAGTCAGCAGAATATCTTTATTGCTTTGGTGTATGGCTTCAGTTTGCTGGTCAATGTCTGGGCTTTCTTTCGCATTAGCGGGGGGTTGTTCAATCCGGCGGTATGTATCCTCCCAGTATCCTCTAGGATACGCGTTAAATTGTCGAGCGATACTAACATACCTCCAGGTAACCGTCGGCATGGTAGTTGCCGGTCAACTCCCCTTCATCCGATCACTCTTCCTCGTTCCCGCTCAGCTACTCGCATGCATGTGCGCGGGTGGAATTGTCCAGGCTATGTTTCCGGGAGACATTAGCGCTGTCAATACTTCGCTGTCCCAGGACACGTCTATCGCTCAGGGAGTTTTCATCGAAATGTTCATGACTGCCGAGCTCGTCTTTGTCGTGCTTATGCTGGCTGCTGAGAAGAGCAAATCTACGTTCTTAGCTCCGATTGGCATCGGACTGGCGCTGTTTGTAGCCATGATGGGCGGTACGTTCTCCATTTCGCTGTTGGAAGACCCAAGCTAACAAACCACAGGTGTGTACTTTACCGGCGGCTCACTCAATCCTGCGCGTAGCTTCGGTCCAGCTGTAGCTTCAGCGTCGTTCGTCGGATATCACTGGATCTACTGGGTTGGTCCATTACTCGGTGCGCTTCTTGCTTCGGCCTACTACCGCTTCGTTAAGCACTTCAATTATGAACAGGCGAATCCGGGGCAGGACTCTTCGGGTGGTCACTTCTCTGCTTGAGTGGCCTGGGAAGTTCTGAGGAACGCATACGCGTCCAAGAGCGAGTTGGCTTGGGTGTTGGGCAATCCTACTTTACAATCGGGAAACAATGGGTATTAGTTCTGGATGGGTTTTGGAGCTTTGAATATACAGCGTGGAGTTACGGGAAGGTTCTCAGAGAACTATACATATATCGGAGTTCTTGATTTTGGGTTATCCCTCATTCGAGAGGACCTAATTGTATCAGCATGGTAAACATTTCGGAATTTGTGAGTCGTTCGTCAGCGATGGGTCTACACTGTAGGGGTGGCTAGAAATCGTGTCGCATTCTACAAAGGGCAATCTAGGGTAGGAGTATACATGATTTTAGAACCTGCCCAGTTGTGAACCTTTGATCGTATGTATACTACAAAGTGTGAACTGCGAGACGAATCCTAGCCACCACTAGTGACACGTATTTGAGCGGGCATTTACTCAACGAATCGCATCCTTTCTTTGAGCTACGAATATGACCTTCTCTCTTTCGTGTAATCAAGCAAAGAACCGCCCATGAATATTTCTGATGTACGTAAGAGATAGATGGAGAACTATGCGAGAGCAAGGGGTATGTACAGTATGGCTCATCGCATGAAAAGAACGCCGAATGCTGACCAAGTGCGGGGTCAATGCATCATTGAAAAGCAAAAGTAACCGCCCGTCGTAGTCTGCTTCTGCATACCTAGGTATTCATACATGGTAACACAGGAAACTAGAAATTAGACAACCCAAGAAAAGCTAGATGCTGGATGAGAACTAGACAGGAGAATCTTGCAAAGACTGTCCACGATCAGGGAAAAGAAATGCGACGGCATACGCCGCAAAGGAAGTGCAAGGAGGGATGGCTGTAACAAGCCCACCCTGTATTGAGGCCTTTTGCACAAGCGCAACGATGCAGAGACATATCCCGGCGAACATCAGTGTGACCAGTATATATCTGGTTCATTGTCAGTATAACCCTTGCTATTATCTGGTTGACTAGTCCCTACAGGCTGTCAAGCTTCACTCGACGAGTTTGATAGCGCAGGTACATCATCGTTGCGATGGACCAAATGCCAAAGATACTGTCGGATGAATCAGTAAGATCTAACGAAGATAAATGGGGAATACTCACGCCCAAGCGAAGCTTGGCCGGACCGCTGCGTCGTTGCGCGTGATGAACCACAGTACACTTGTAACACCCATCAACGGGCCCAACATTTGACTCGCCATGGTCACCATATATCCGATGGTGAACAACGCCATCGTGCCTATACTAGCGAAAGGAACGCGTATAGGAAACCCAGGAGGCGGGTTCGCTGTGAAAATGCCGTAGGTGTTCTGGACTGGGTACGGGGCCAGCGCTATCTGGTTGTCCATCGCTGCCACGGGTACGACCAAGTTCGTGAAAACGAGGAGGAGCGTTAGAGGAAGGAAGATCGTTTTGGCCAATGGTCGGATTCGCGGGCTAAGAAGAGATGTCAAAGCCTCGCTGGATGGCGTACGAGGTGCGGTCGTTACGCGCATTTGTTTCGTCAATGCAGAAGCGGCACCGAAAGTCGTATCCTGGTAAGGCTTCGTGGTTGGAGAAGCCATCGTCGTATCCTTTCGAGCGATGGCGGAGCTTTTGGATTGCGATGCACCGAAGTCGACGCTCAATTGCATCCTGGTCCTGCTGTTCTCAGTTTCTGGAAAGGTTAGCAGATATACACAGAGCAAGTAAGCGACCAACCTATAGAAGTCAAGGTTGGAATTTGTAGCGTCGACCAAGAATCAGTTGCAAGTAGAATTGGGGGGATCGCTTCAGAAAAAGGATTCGCTCTGCGAGTCTCGATAGCACAGTGTGCGAACTCTGACCGGTCATAGAAGACAGGGCAAAGGAAATGGTGGCTGTGTTGTTGAGCTCAGCCCATGTTTCCGCGGCTTCATGCACATAGTAAGGCAGAATTAAGACTGCGTGTCTCGTCGCTGTTCGTTGGAGATGGTGGAGGACGCAGAGCAAGCTGCCACCGGTACACGGGGGTGGGTGACACGAGAAGAAAACAACGGTTGTGTATCAGACTCAGCCACGCCTTTGTCACGCCACAGTAACGAGGTGGCACACGCGGGACTGCATGCTGAGCTACGGTTCGCTCGTCATGGTGGAGGACTCGTTGAGCGCACACCGGTGTCTGGCTTGCGCCTCAGCCTGATGCATCAGCTCGCAACAGGGCAACAAAGCCCCGCCTTATCTGTCTGCCTAGCTAGTTCTGACGTGTGACAGCTGTGGGACGACTGCAGAGGATTAATCTTTAAAACCGTCGGCGCAACGCTGAAATCACCTTGTATGCTATCCGCAGCCTGAACGATCCATCACCTCAACCTCTCTTCCAACTACAACAACATAGACCCGCAACCTCGCGACGGCGGTGAACCATTGCCAAACACTGGGACTATCAGCAAGCACGCTACACAATCAACCTTCGCTATGAGACTACCACGATGGTTATGCTGCAAATGCGGGGACGGTACTATGGAGTCCACCACACGGCTTCACCAGTGCTTACTGTGTGTCATACTGCCTCTTTGCTTCATCGTGGACACAATAGCAGCACTTGATCTCGGTCAACACAAATGGCAGTGCTTCTCGCTGGAACCGGGCCCCTACAGCGCCAGTCACACTGCCGCTGTATCGACCATCGCATTCTTCACCGCATCCACCATCATCTACCGCGTCAACGTTCACGATCAGTGGCAAGACCATTTCCTCCTCCTCGGAATAACGTCTGGTGCCGCCTCCGGCCTTCTTCTCAAAGGAATGTTACAAGAAGCCATTCTTCACTTCATACCATGGACTGTCATGCTGTCTTTACTGTGCAGCACGATACTTCACAGAACGATTCAATTCGCCCGTTGTAGAGGTCCCGTCACCTCCGACCTCGAGACGGAGGTGCACCAACCCCAGGCGCAAGACTATCATCATCCATGTTGCTTTCAATGGCAGAAACAGAGCCCCAGCCTCGCGATGACGGCTAATGAGCTAGAAGAGAAGACGCCCTTGCTTCCTTCAAACTAACATGGACGGAGTCCGCAATATGTGCGGTATTTGCAGGTTGTGGGTTCCATTTCGCCAGAGTCTTCTTCAAGTCAGCTCGCGTGTCAACAACCAGATTTTCGTATTGGCATTATCAAGCACCTTTTGTATACAAGTTTGCATAGTTCAAGGATGGGAATGAATGAGAGAATTTGGGTATCGTACCTTCCGCCTAGCGTCACCGCGTGCCGCGTTTTCTTCCGGTGTCGAACGACAAACTACTGCCATCTTGACAGCTCAATGTGAACATATCCTAGTCACATGTTTCTCTAGATTTGGCGAGCATACACCCTCAACATGAGATAAAAGGTTTCGGCGACTCGCAGTCGATCCGTATATCAGCCTTGAGACCCACGGCATGCCCCGCAGCAAGTGCCTCAGATAAACAGCGTCTGACCAAGAACGCTCCCCAGATGACGTCGGAACCGGCTGAGCTGCAGCTTAGACGAACCTCCACCTACGACTTCAGCGACACAAGCCCGAAGTGCCTTAGGTCATAGATGACGGCGCCCGAATGCCGCAAATGGTTAGACTCCGACGTGCGCTGGTCTGCATTGGAGATCCGATCATGGCGTGGCCTACAAAATAGATTAAGTTGATAGGCTCACTCGGAGTGAAGCCATGGGTGAAAGGCACGACAAGGTACAATCTAAAGTTCCAGTGACAGGGGACAGCTTTGGTGGAAATCGCGAGTGCCAGGTGGAAGGGAACAACTTTGGTGGAGATAGCGAGTGCCAAGTGGTAGGGGTACACAGCCCTGCTGCATACGACTCGGTGTCGCATCTGTGGCTGTGGTTTGTGGTTTCTCGATCCGTCATGTCAAAGTGCTTGAAAAGGTCCATTTCCTTTACCAGAGTGATACTGTCCAAGTCATTTCCTGTACGGCGATTGAGAATTGGTCGCTGGAGATAGAAAGATACTCGGCTTGCACAACTTGCTTGGGCGTCTCTCCCACATTCGTAGAATCAGAATCGTATAACGTTCCGCTGTTCGCAGAAAGTTCTCAGAACATTGAGATGGGGCAGCGCATGTTTACCGTCTCTTGTCTGGTCGGGTATACCAAGGCCGGGCCGGAAGGTACACCACAAGATGGCTTGACTTGATTGGGGCGTTGGTATATGCAAGTATAACGGTGGCGCGCAGGAAATCATGTCTGGTGCCGGGGGTAGGTTTGCCTTCTTTTGCCTTGTTGCCTGGTAGGCGAACCACTGCAGAGCCGCATCTTATATCGTGTTAATGCCCACCTTGAGGGCCTCTTGGAAATTATACGGACAGTAGAACATCCTATCATCCAAGAACTCCATCATCACGCACTTCCCAATTGCATTACGCCCAAGCATCCAAGCAATCAGACATCCTTGGCAGAATATATCATTTCACCTTCACCCCCAGTGTTGAATTCAACCCACCTCACATCATGAGAAGGGGAATCCATCATGAGCAAGCCGATTGTAAGGGGCGCGTGCGGCTCCCCGTAGCTGTAACACCCCAGTCCAACAAATATGCACGCAAGCGTGTTCATGTCCCAATGTGGTTAATACTCGTGTGGTCCTTGGTGGCCCTAATCACGCCCGCAGCTGCGCTCGACGAACCACACGCCTTGTCCGCAGCCACAGCGGGCCACCACTACGAGTACCGCCTTCCGATTGGCTTCACCATCACCTTCCTCCTTTTCATTGGACAGGCAGTTGCTGCCTTCTCGAGTACCCTGGTCGGACCGGCGATGGGCATTACGAGCGTGTTGTGGCTCATGATGCGCAACGATAGTGCCATCAGTCCCAAAGCGTCTTGGATGTAAGTAGGCATTGCTGGAACTATCCTAGGATACATGCTTACGAAACCAGGGTGTTCGGGGTATGGTCCTGGTTGACAGCGATGTACTTCCTTGTCCAATGCCAACGGGTATCGAACCATCGGTTGTAAGCAACGGCTCTCGACTACTTCGTATCGTCAAGCTGACCAATGCAGATACATTCTCTTCACGATCGCCTTAGCCAGTGTGTGCATGGGCCTGATTGCACTAGCTCAGAAGTCGTCGCTGCAAGGCGGCCTAGTGACAGCGATTCCGACTTGTACTTCTTTTGCCGCATACGTTGTAGCATATTGCTTCCCAGAGAGACGTGACCGAGAGTCAGACGAATGGAATGCCATGGTATGATGCGAGATATCAGCTGCAACGGTTGCTGGCTCCTACTACGAGAAAACCTCAGCGGTGTTGGTGGTCGAACGGGAAGCGAGGGTAAAGGATACGGAAGAGCCGGAACCGCAGAACGATCTGGCGATTCTGAGATGCGAGTGGCAGTAAGGCTGCTGCAGGTCGAGCCCGAAGGCTACATGGACCGCACCAGACGCAAATAGTGGCCGGCACGAGGAGGCGGGACAACTACATGTACATGCTTTACCTGTCCTTGTCTTTCGCTTGTTCAGATATCGCTCTCTTGATCGAAGAAACAGCTCTTTTACTTGCCTCCTCTCGCAATTCATCATCGTTAGGCATCCGACAATTAGGCTGTCGACGGAGGGGAATCTCAGTGTACTTCGTATCAGTGAAGTAGCTCAAGTCAAAATGCGGTTCCAATCGCTGCTTCTCAGTAACTTCTGCAACCTTTTCTTCTGCATCTTTCGTCTTGGTGTGTGCGCTTCGGAAGAGACGATCTGCATCGTCGCGTGGTGAAGATGGCGGCGCAGGCTTGCCAAGCCAGGATGTACCACGGCCACGCCAGCAGAGTACGGATCGGGCGTTGCCTTGTCCAACAACTTCGAACCCATCCTCGGTCGCATTGTCTCCGGTGGCATCGGGTTGTTCCCGCCATATCTCAACGCCGTCGAAGATGTCTAGATTTCGTGCGTTCTGCGCCACGCGAAGCGCCTGCTCCATGTCTGCGACCTCGAACAGGACGACTTTGGCTTCTACGTCTCTGGCGATCTGGAGCAGGCGCGGATAGAAGCGATCGCCTTGCTCTTTATCCGTCTGCTTGATCCTCCGTGGAGGCACCAGCGCGAGCTTTGGCTCGAAACCGCGTACTGAGCGCGTTGTGGTGTACCAGAAGGCAGCTGGCGAGATGTACGGTGGGTTGGAGATGATAATGTCCCAAAAGGACGGTTGCCCCGCCCAATTGAGCGCTGCCGTCAGCGACAAGACGCCTTCAGTCTGGTCGTCAAAGGGATTGATCAAGACGTCCGCCTGTATGAAGTCGACTTTCCCAGTGTCTTGGAGCTGTCGCGTCTTGCGTAGCTTTTGGAGATTGTATCTCGCGAGATCAAGGGCTTTGTCGGAGATGTCGACACCAAGAAGACGCAGGTCTACTTTGTCGGAGGCGGAAGACAATTCGTGGTGGAAGAGGAGGGGTATGCAGCCGGTGCCGGTGCAGAGGTCGAGTACGCGTACTTCGGAGGGGAGTTCTTTTGCATGTCGTAGGAGACCGGCTAGGTGTGTAATTGAAGCGGCTGTATCTGCTCTGTTCGCGTCGTTAGCCATGAGCCGGAGAGAAGCCATAGTTCCATATACCTCGGGATTAAAACACCAGGCCTACAGCGAATTTCCAGGTCGCCAAAGTACTCTGTGCCCAGCAGATACTGCAATGGCTTCCCGGCGGCTCTATCCTTGACTAATTGTTGCAGTAGAGAAGCCTTGGCTATCGTGTCTCCTTTGGCGCGACGCGCTTTCGCGACTTTGTCGACATGTTCGCGGAGCCATCGCAGCTCGTTCTGGGCGGCCTGCAGTTCGCGACAGGGCCCAAGAAGAGCAGGCAGGTAGGGATCGATTGCGCGCGCCTTGCGGATGAGCGACGTTGGGATCCGTGGCATGTTGAAGGTGACGCGGTGGGGTGGAGTTGCGGTCGCCTCACTAGCGTCGGCTTCATGTTGTCTGGCTGCTGCGACATTGCGGCGTTTTGTCCAAAACTTCGGTAGGAGAATGACATATCCTGACGTTGCCGCCCACGATAACAACGGATGTCTATGAATTCATCACGATACGCCAAAATCTTGTTGTTGCGTGTTGGTTGAACGTATAGAAGATTGGCAGTACGTGCTCAGTAAACCTTATGACCCGGCTCCTGCCTCATTACTTTTTCGGCAGCCTGCAAGTCTGCCCTCACACCAGATTTAGCCTTCCGGATCTAACCTTCAGGACGTCTACATCCAAAGCAACAACAAAACTTATGCATGGCATTCAACATGCCGTATAGCTAAGCTTTAATTTCCCCGCGCGACGCCCGTTCTGACCCACCATCCCCAACATCATGCCCGTACCCCATACTTTTCTAGTTCACATTTATCCAATTGCTGTGGATAGTGCGCATTAGGTAACCCAGCTGTATCCACCCGCTGAACGGTACAGTGATACCGACCTCCATTATGAGCTGTCGTGCCTTCTTGGCCCAGCCACACACGGATGAGTATTTCCAGGCCTCCCCAGGGATCTGTGGCGGGCTCAATGACAAACGAAGAGCACAATCACACACTGGTATGCTGAACAACCCGTAACAACACACACCGTTTCGCTCTCAGCATACCCAAAGATTCATTCCCATATAACCAGTAATCTACCACAAGTTACACCCGCCATGCACATCACCAGGCACAGAGACACTCCAGTCCATACAACACCTTCCCCACATCCACCCAAGCGCAAAGTGCCAAGTCCCCTCCCCCATTGGTTCTGGCAGAGCGGAGAGGGCATCTGACTTGTGGGGTCAAACAACCGCATGCGTCTCTGCATAGAGGACTTGGCAATAACCTTGACTCGGCAGATGGGTAAAGTCTCTGTGGTTGGCACTGCATCCGACCCAGTCTGGGCAAGATGATCTTCAAGGTATAAGGTAGGATTCCTAGCCTTTAACCCAAGATCTAGCTTTTCAAACGACTGCAATCCTTCCTGTGAGGTTCTTTTGCCATGTCTGATAACAACGGATATACATGGCGCGACCATTCGCGCTTGTTTCTCGCGTGCGGCGTCGTGATTCTAAGTCCTTTTCAGTATGGGTTTGATTTTGGCATGATTGGAGGACTGCAGGCTATGGTGGGGTTCTTGAAGGTACGACACCACTGCATCGCTCTTTCTCGTTCAAAATCAACGGCGTACTGATAGTAAATCAGATCTTCGGCTATCAAACCGACAAGTCACCCCTAGGATGGAATCTCACTACCGAGCGACAACAGCTCATCTCCTCGCTCATGACGCTGGGCGCTTTCATCAGCTCCGCGACTGCTGGTTTACCATCCACCCGGTTCGGGCGACGCATGTGTCTGGTTGCGGCATGTGTGACATGCTTCGTGGCTAACATCATGATGATGGCGACAGAGAATATCGGAGCGCTTTACGCCGGCCGTCTGATTATCGGGTTCGCAAACGGTTACTTCATGACTTTCTCGCAGCTCTATCTACAGGAGAGTAGTACGGCAGAGCTTCGTGGTATCTTCCTCACAGGCTTCAACTTTTTCGTCTCCTTCGGAACATTGATAGGCACGATTGTCGACTGGGCGACTGCGAAGCGACCAGACAAGTCAGCGTACCTAATTCCACTGGGACTCATCTACGTGTTCCCTCTCATCATCATCTGCACGATATGGTTCATACCCGAAAGCCCCCGATGGCTCATCCTCCAAGGCCGTTTCGAAGAAGGTGTAAAAGCACTAGAATGGCTACGCCCCGCCCGCCATGATTCCCGCGCAGAAGCCACCGCCATCCTCACCGCAATCGAAAAGGAAAAGGAATCCAGCTCCGGCATAGGCTGGCTCGACATGTTCAGCAACCCCGTCGATCGACGCCGTACTTTCCTCGCCGTTTTCGCTGTCCTACTGCAAGCAGCATCAGGTTCCATGTTCATCATCGGTAAGATTCCTATCACCCCAGCCCCCAGAATCTCCTACTAACAACCCCCAAGCATACAAAGCATACTTCCTCTCCATGGCCAAAGTAACCGACCCCTTCGCCATGTCCAACGTCCTCTCCTCCATCAGCATAATCGCCTTCATCGCAAACTCCTTCATAGTAGTCCGCTACGGCAACCGCCGCGTCCTGCTAATGACCGGCCTCCTCGTCTGCGGCATCCTCCAACTCATCATCGCAACCGTATACCACCAAGCCCCCAACGCAAAGTCTACCGGAAAAGTCACCGTCGGCCTAACCGCCATCTACATGTTCTCTTACAACGGCATGATATCCACCTACGCCTGGCTCTCCGGCGGCGAACTCCCCACGCAGAGACTGCGTTCCCATACGTTTGGGCTGGCGGCCAGTGCGGGGTTTGTGGGCGCGTGGCTGACGACGTTTACGGCGCCGTATTTTATTAATCCGCAGAGTATGAATTGGGGACCGCGGTATGGGTTCATCTGGGCGCCGAGTTGTGCCGTGGCGGCGACGTGGGTTTTCTTCTTTTTGCCAGAGGTGAAGAATAGGACGTTGGAGGAGATTGATGAGATGTTTGAGGCTGGGTTGTCGGCGAGGCAGTTTGGGAGTTACAAGTGTGTGGGGGCGGCGAGGGGGGATGATGAGAGGAAGGTGGCGAGGAGTAGTGTGGAGAAGGAGAAGGAGGTTACGGTGCTGGCGAGTGAGAAGGTGGCTGCTGAGACGAGTGTGTCGAGGGATTAGGGGTATGGAGGGCTGGGGAGTCACTGCGACCCAGGATGTGATTGGGATCTAGGTGGGAAGTGGCTTGTGGGGTATCTCATAATGTATTGCTATGTTCCCTCGCGGTTCGCTCTATAAGCATAAGCATGTTTCTTGCTCAACATGTATGCAACGCTTCAAGCGGTCCTCAACCAAGTATTCGCTCGATAACATATCTTCCGCCAGGGTCTTTCCTCTGCACCACCTTTCTAACACCCAGGCCCCATCCTTGACTACCCTTCTCACCCATAAGACTCATCTCGACCTCGCACTCTCGTTTATCCTTGCTGAGATCTACGATCTTGCCCTTTGGCTTACTCGCTTGTAGTAACGGGGTGTTGAGCGCAATGTTGATAATCTGCGGCCTCGTAACGGGAGTGAGAGGATGCATGCGCGTCTTCGGCGTTCGGCTTCCAGTAATCGTGGATGATGCGGCCCGCTGGAGATGGGAGTAGATGATATATCCCGGCATCTTTGCTGGCGGTGTGCGTGCGAGTATGGAAGAAGGGTGTAGGAAGACGTATTTCGAGTGTGGGTCGTCTGAACGCTCCGATTGTGACGAGAACAGAGTAACGTATGGCACATCGATCGCGGTCTTGAGCTTCCTTGGGAGCTCGGGAGGCACAGGAGCAAGATCGGCGCGCATAGCAATCTGATCGATGAAGCCTGCGGCGCATATCTGAGTAAGCAGATTAATGTTTCGCTCCGAAGGCGCTGGAAGCTTTGCATTGTATGCTCCGATAGCGGTGGGTCGATGTGCCCGGACGATATTGGTGAGCTGGTGGCGGAGCTGACTGGCCTCGTTCATGGACTTTGGATTGAGGAACATGTCTTCGCAAAACCGGTGCGAGTCAGGCTCGTACGCGTAGGCACAGATGGCGTTGCTAAGCTTGATGCAATCACTCTGCTTCGCGTTGATGCTCATCTTAGCCTGTGCGGCATTGTAGGCTTTGCGCAACCGGGAGCGCTCTTCGGCTTCGATGTTGTCCTGCTCGGTGCGAATGGCATCCGGGTCTTTGACGGGCTCACGTAGTCCAAGATTGTTCTCTGGGACGATGAGTTCTGGTACAGATAGGGCAGCCACCAATGCGATGGTTTCAGCTGCGAGATTCTGTGCGACACCCATCGCAACCATGCGGGCGAATCGTGGATTCAGGGGATATAACGAAAGTTCGTGACCGAGTTTCGTGACCTTGCCATCTAAAGACAGTGCCCCGAGGTATGAAAGCAAATTCTCAGCCTTCTGCAGACTTTCCCTATCCGGTGATGTGGGGAAGGGAAAGTTGACCACTGGAGCGCCCATACTCTTCAACTGCAACACCACGCCTTCCAACGGTGTCCGTGAGATCTCCGGAGCTGCGTACTCTTCGAAGTCTCGCTCAAAAACGGCCGATGAGTACAGGCGATAACAGTGACCAGGTCCAGTACGGCCCGCACGACCGGATCGCTGGTTGGCACTAGCCTTGCTGATCCAGCTGACTTCGAAACTCTGGACGCCAGTGATGAGATCATATTTCTTCTCCTTGGCTCTTCCGCAGTCAAATACGTAGCGGATACCTGGTATTGTCAAACTGGTTTCTGCGACGTTCGTCGCAAGGACAATAAGACGAGAGCCATCAGGAGGTGGGTCAAACACCCGCAGCTGCTGATTTGTGGGCAGTTGTGAGTAGAGAGGCAGAACATGTACGTTCATGACAGTGTCCTCTGCCTTTTCGTCCTCGATCTCGAACTCTTTGTCGTCTTCATCATCCAGTCCCATTATTACGGAGCCTTCCGAATCAGAACCATCGTCGTCTAGGTAGTTCTGATCTTCAGCCTCTCCGCCCAGCTCGATATCCTCGGCCTCTAGTGGCGTCTCCGCTGGAGAAACCACGACTTTGCCATGCTTCACTTCGCGTCCTTGCGTAGAAGGAAAGGCTTCCCTTAACCGTTTTGCAAGCTGCGAGATCTCGCTTTGTCCAGTAAGGAAGACAAGCATACCACCCTTGGGTAGCTTTCGATGTCCTCTGCAGACCTTACGATACATCTCCTCAACGTAGTCTCGCTGGGTACGACGTGCGAAGTGGTTTACAACGGTGTATTGTCGACCCTCTGCCTTGATCAGTGGCGGAGGCTCACTCCTGAACAGGCGTTTGTTCTCTGTGAAGTCTGAAATCCGCAAAGTAGCAGACATGATGATCAGTTTGAGAGGCTTGTTCTTTGGGTCTTCTTTGACCATCTGAGCGCGAAGATCCACTATCCTGCTAAGCATGCCAATAAGAATGTCGGTGTTCACACTACGTTCATGAGCCTCATCGATGACGATCGCCGAGTACTTTGTCAACACGAAGTCTTGGGTAATCTCTCGTAGCAACACACCGTCGGTCATGAACTTGATGGCGGTTTTAGAACTCGTGGTCGTGTCGAATCGGATCTGGTATGCCACTTTCGTACTTTGGTCGCCGAGTTCATCGCCAACACGTTTAGCCATACTGACAGCGGCTACACGACGCGGTTGTGTAACGCCAATCATGCCAGGCGTAGGCCCGTCTGGCGCTCCGTATCCAGATTCTAGGAGAAACTGAGGCACCTGCGTGGTCTTACCACTACCCGTGGCACCCCAAACTACTACCACGTCGTTGTTGTGTATGGCCTCCATGATCTTCTGCTCTTCCGCTACGATAGGAAGCTGCAATCTTGACTCTTGTATCTCTGGTGACCGTTCGACATTCACGCTGAAGGCTTTTCGTGTCGCATCGGTCGCCGTTCTCGTCTCAAGTTCTGGGGGCAGAGGATCTTGCTCGGGAGCTCGAGGTTTGAAGTTCGCCGGAATCGGTGCGTAGGAGAGTTGGTTTGTCGGGGTGAAACCCACTTGCTCGTTTCTCTGCTGAGTTGCCCAAGCCTTGAAAGCCGACGTTCTTTCCTTCTTCGCGATCTTGTTCTCTTCGTCGGGACTGGTATCGCTATCCTCGTCGCTGTCGTCCTCAGAGTCTTCGGACTCTCCAGATTCGTCAGAAGCTTCGGATCCGGAAGTTGATGCCTCCTCTTCCGAATTCAAACCAGCGTCGTCGGACTCAGCAACAGATGCTTCAGATTCATCCCCACTATCCTCATCGTTGTTCTCGCTGCCCGAGCTGAAGCCCTCCCATGCGACCTCTTCTTCGACCACGACGGGTTTGTTGGTCTGACCTTTCCGCCGCTTTCGCACTTGTATAACGGGTTTGCCCGACTCGTCAACCTCTAGAGGCCTCTTCAGCCCGCTTCCAAAGAGTCCACCAGTCTGTCGTGGCGCTGCGAGGGGCTGTGAGGTTGGCTGCGAGGTTGGCCGCGAGGCTTCGATCTCGGGCTCGGAGGGTGATGGGGATGGCGCTCGTTCTCGTGAAGAGCCGTTGGTTTGCGCTGCTTGCGAGGGGATCTGTCGTGCGTTTGGTTTCGAAGTGGGTATCGGCGCTTCTTCTTCGTCTGAACTTTCGTCTCCGACCTCCTTGACCTCGCGCTTCTCTAATATCAGGCCTTCGTTCTTTTCCACATCTATGCCGGCTCTGCTCTCAGCCAGTGCGCGCCTCATTGCCTCCCTCTTGGTGTCTGCTCCTCGACCGAGCTTCTTGGAGCTTTGGAACAAGCTGGTGTCGACTTTCTGGGTCGCGAGCTTCTTGAGCAGTTCGAGGTTCTCTTCTTTCTTGAGTTTCGTATCCTACAAACGTTAGACTTGAAGTTCTTCGCGGTGCAATTCTAGCACAAATTGACGAAGAAAGGCGTCTCGAGTCTTCTATGCTGTATCTCCACGTACAATGTATTTGTCGAGGCGCTTCTTCTTCTTGCCGCTCATCTTGCCCTGCGACTCTCGGGTGAGCTCATCCTTGAGCGCCGCCTTCTTCTGGGCGCGCTCCTGCTCATCCTGGGGCAAGATCTCGGTCGCATTGGTGTCGACGGTGGCCTCGTGCGTCGGCGTCTTCTGACGGGCCAGAACCTTGTGTTTTCGCTGTCGCGGCACGAACTTGGGCATTTTGGTGGTTGCGGCGTCGAGGACTGCTCGCAGCGCCCGAAAGTTTTTGGTGGGGATCTGACGCTAGTGGGAACTCCGCAGCACTTCCGCCGCGTGCGAGCTGTTGATCTGGATTCAACACCACGGATCGCCAGACACGAACGCGAAAGTCGCATCAGTACTCTACTGCGCGCCTGACTACCTTCACTATATCAAGAGCCCGAATCAACTCGCTCGCCTTTCGTCGCATTGCTCGTCGCATATCAGCTACCCCTCAACAATAACGATCGCATCACACGGACAACACCATGGCAGCGCCCACAACTTCGGACGACTACGTCGTGACGCCCGCCCTATACCCAGCGCGTACCCGTACGGCCACTGCGGCGATCAAGAGTATAGAAACTACAGCAACGACGGTCAACTTTGCGGATAAGATCCTCATCACCGTGACACAGAATGGACGGCTAGCGCATTGGGTATGTGAATATATATGTTTATCTGTAAAATCTTTTGCTAACACCTGTTAGGTACACGTACCCCTTGATATCTCCGCGACCGATGCCTCCATGACCTCGAATGCCTACCTCGAACGCGACGAGGAAGACCCCAACTCAGACCTCCTTCCTATGCACCATCTCACGGCTACAACTATACTTGGCGGTACCATGGCAGAGCTCGACACTCTAGGCTCAACACTCGCGACACAGATTGCCAGTGCCATTAAGCAACGCGACGACAGGGAAACCAGGATGGTCGTACTGGGTATGGGACTGGACAAAAGCATGATTGGAAGAGAAGCATTCAGCGAGCTGGTTGGACTTGTGCTGGGAGTCATATGAGATCGAATTCGTATTGCTTTAATCTATGCAATGCTCGACGTGATAACCGTGGGAGTCCGTGCCCAAACGTTGCTCCATCGAATCTTGGGTATGTTATTCATCTGTCCTCCAAGGTCAACTTTTGTCCCTCTATGCGCCGTCCCATGCTGACCAGTCAAGTACCGTAACGCCGACCCAATGCAATCCATAACCAGTTCCTTTATACGCTCTCACGGAGCTTGTTGATCAAAACATCGACCGACTCCATGTCGTTGGCATCCAGTTTCTGTTCCGGCTTGAACTCGGCGGGCACATGCTCTACAGCGGCATCGAGCGCAGCCTGGAAGTTGCGGACGGAGGACGACAGGGCGAAGACTGCCTTCTTGCGGACCTTCTTCTCGGTGTCTGAGGTGGCCATGCGAACGAGGGTGGGAATAGCGCCGACTACGAGGAGCTGGGGATCGTTAGTATGTTTCGTGGGCGTGCGCGAGATCTGGGAATGCTTACCCGTTCTTGGGTCCGGATGTTGTTCTGGACGGCAGTGCCGCAGCACCATGCAGCGTAATACCGGAGTTCAGACTCCTTGTTCTCCAGCTGTTCGACAAGAGGCACCCATAGTCCCAGGCTCTCGATGTTGTTTGCATTGTCGAGGTTCTCGATGAGCTGCTCAAAGTTGTCGAAGGCGGTCGTCCGGTGCTCCAGCTCGGCCTCTTCGTTCTGGATGACCTGCATGCTCTCCTGCATCAGTTGCGCATCCGAAGGCCCCGACATTCCCGTCATGAGTTGTTGCAGCGCCGTGGCGTCGATTTGAGGCGGCGGTTGGTTGGCGGCAGCGGCATCATTGCGCGAGGCCTCGGAGTTCTGGATGCCCCATTTGAGGAGGTTGTTTAGTCCTGGGTCGTTCATCGCGTTGGATAGATGTGTGATGTTTGGTGTGGTGTGTGGAGGGTGTGTGCAATCGCGGGGTGCGTAGCTATTGAATAATTTTGGCGGGCCTTATGACGCCGACGCTCGCGAGGGGACCAGCAGCTTCGCGGACCTTCCATGGGAGATCGTGCCCAACACAGCTGTCAGCACCATCAACCACATGGCGGGAAACGGACAAACACGACAAACATGGCGCGGTGCAAAAGCTGGTCGATGTCGGCTTTCAATGACATAATCACGACATGTTGGCATCGAGCATGGCATTGTTGCTGCGAATGCTCGTCTGGCTAGGTGCACTGCTGCTGCCCCTCCGCACACGTGACCATCGTATTCGGAATGGGCGGGGATGGCGAGTTGGCGGTGAGCGAAGCCGCGGATGGCTGGGGGACTGACTTGTGCTCGACGCTGACTTGTGCATTCACAGCGCACCGGCGAGAACACGTAGGTGCTAGTGGAGTGTCGATGATTGCTATACGCCAAGGATCAAACACCGCTGCCTGGCGGTCTGGTAGAGTTGACGTGCGCCGACAGCAGCTTCCTCGATGCTGTGGCGGGGAGCTTGCGTACTCGCCCAGTACGTACCACCGGGATAGATAGAGTCCATTCTAGGCTGCACACTTTGGGCAGCACGTATAAGATGCCCAATGCTGTTATCGTCGTGAAGCCAGATCGCCAACGCTGAAATTATACACAATCCCCTTTAGGAGCCGCCCGTTCGTGCAAAGCCTCCTTCGCGCCTGCGCTCCTGCCACCCCGCTAAATCTGGGCAAGGCCGACCCGCTTATTTAGCACACCCAGTTCTTGCCTCTGCGCACAAGAACCTCAACCTCAACACCGCCGCCGAACTTGTAAGCTCCCCGAACACCTCCGTACCCTTTTTACTTTTTCACCGCTAGCTGCATCTCTGAGCCTTCCCACTGACGCTCAATTGCTCCAGCGCTCTTACATCGACACCCATCTACAACTCCACGTCTACTCTAATCTCACCCTAATCAATCAACATGGAGGGTAAGCAGCTCCACCCCGACCGCCCCGTGTCCTGACCATCGCCGTCCACCATGCCCTCTATCTCAATGAGCTCTGCTAACCTCGATTGCCCGCTACAGAGGAAGTCGCAGCCCTCGTCATCGACAATGGGTGAGTTGGCACCCCCCGAAGCCCAACACCGCCATCCCTGCCGTGGAGGGGCTGTCCGCGCCTGAGCCTTATCTGAGCCGCGACGACGTCCTCCACGACAGCGCGCCATGTTCGGAGATGAAATGAGCTTGAGCTGACAATCCCCAGTTCGGGTATGTGCAAGGCCGGTTTCGCCGGTGACGATGCGCCCCGAGCAGTCTTCCGTAAGTACCTCCATTTCCGCCTCCCAGCTGCGGCGGGATCAAATGCCATCTCGAGAGCACTTCTGACAGCTTTGCAGCTTCCATCGTTGGCCGACCGCGTCACCATGGGTACGATGAACCCCCCGTAGCCCCTACGCACTCCGCCGTCTAACAACAAACAGTATCATGATTGGTATGGGCCAGAAGGACTCCTACGTCGGTGATGAGGCACAGTCGAAGCGTGGTATCCTGACCCTGCGATACCCCATTGAGCACGGTGTCGTTACCAACTGGGACGACATGGAGAAGATCTGGCATCACACTTTCTACAACGAGCTGCGTGTTGCCCCCGAGGAGCACCCCGTCCTGCTCACCGAGGCTCCCATCAACCCCAAGTCCAACCGTGAGAAGATGACACAGATCGTCTTCGAGACCTTCAACGCTCCCGCCTTCTACGTCTCCATCCAGGCCGTCCTGTCCCTGTACGCCTCCGGACGTACCACCGGTATCGTGCTCGACTCCGGTGACGGTGTCACTCACGTTGTCCCCATCTACGAGGGTTTCGCTCTTCCCCACGCCATCTCCCGTGTCGACATGGCTGGTCGTGATCTGACTGACTACCTCATGAAGATCTTGGCTGAGCGCGGTTACACCTTCTCCACCACTGCCGAGCGAGAAATCGTCCGTGACATCAAGGAGAAGCTCTGCTACGTCGCTCTCGACTTCGAGCAGGAGATCCAGACTGCCAGCCAGTCCTCCAGCTTGGAGAAGTCCTACGAGCTTCCCGACGGTCAAGTCATCACCATCGGCAACGAGCGTTTCCGTGCTCCTGAGGCTCTCTTCCAGCCTTCCGTCTTGGGTCTTGAGAGCGGTGGTATCCACGTCACCACTTTCAACTCCATCATGAAGTGCGATGTCGACGTCAGGAAAGACCTGTACGGCAACATTGTCATGGTACGTTGAACGCTATAATCTTGCAAAACACAGCTAACAGCAGCCAGTCTGGTGGAACCACCATGTACCCCGGTATCTCCGACCGTATGCAGAAGGAAATCACCGCCCTCGCCCCATCCTCGATGAAGGTCAAGATCATCGCTCCCCCGGAGCGCAAGTACTCCGTCTGGATCGGTGGTTCCATTCTTGCCTCGCTCTCCACCTTCCAGCAGATGTGGATCTCAAAGCAGGAGTACGACGAGAGCGGTCCCTCCATCGTCCACCGCAAGTGCTTCTAAGGTACTGGAGGTCATGCGTCTACGCGATTCATCGACTGACGGTTTTCTTCCAAGCGTGTTCTTGCGTACGGTTCTCGAGATCATGACAAGCCTAGTAGCGGGGGCATCCTTGTATTGGTGCCTTGTTATCCCGGGGTTTTACACATGTCGATTGTCCACAAAATAGCACAGCGGGCCAATGGTTGGGTGTTTGAGTTATGGAGGAGCTTGAGCTCACATGGGGGTGTAGGATCTTAAGATTGTAGCTTAGAGCCTATGGACACTTTCATATCCCTTACGATCTTTGGCTGACTCTGCGTGATGAGTGATGATGTGACAACGAACTCTGCGGCTGCAAGCTCATGTGTATCTTAAAACCTCGACCTGGCACGTACGCACGTGAGCGTACGACAGTCAAACACGCGCGACGCGTCGCAAACGTGCCTGGCCTTCCGATCAAAGTAACGACGTAGCAATGGAACGAGTGGTTGGACATCCCTGCTAGCGCGGAAGTGTGTCCTCCGCGGGAAGGCACGAAGCGCCGCGTTCCTCTGCAAACTGCTTACTTGCAACCTTCCGTCTCACGGGTGACACAGCATGATATGATTCAAATACTCATATAAGCCCTAAACATCTCACATAGCGTTTACGTCGTTCATTTTACTATTTATCGTTGTTACCGCGACGCTGGTCGCACTGGGGCGATTGCCTCCGAACTCACACCGTTCACGCGACTTCCGCATCTAAAGTCGCCCGAGCGGCCTCTATCCAGTCGGGATGTCTACATCATCTAGCAAACCCGCTGATGAGAACACACCTCTCCTAACCCAAGTAGACCCAACACCGATAACAGAGGATCAATCGATCGACCCTTCATCTCAGCAAGATGACATCGAAGAAGAAGATCAGGATAAGCCATTGCCCAAAGCCCAGATCTCCCTCCTGTGCTTTACGGTATGCGTGGCGCCGATATCATTCTTTTCCATCTTCCCTTATATCAATTTTATGATTGAGAGGGTGGGGAATGTGGATAAGGAGGATGTTGGGTTTTACTCGGGCTTGATTGAGAGCTTGTTCAGTGCGACGCAGATGTGTGTGATGATCTTTTGGGGGAGGGTAAGTACCACTTATTTTGCTGTAAAGGAGGAAAGACACTTGCTGACATAGCATCTAGGCTTCTGATCGATATGGGAGGAAGCCTACTCTCGTCATATCTTTGTTGGGCTTGACTGTCGCCACGACTCTCTTTGGGATGAGCCAGACCCTCTGGCAAATGGCATTGTTCAGATGCTTGGGTGGTGCCTTTGCTGGAACGGTCCTCACTGTCCGAGCTATGATATCTGAGAATAGCACCAAGCATACTCAAGCACGAGCATTCAGTTTCTTTGCTTTCGCAAGCAATATGGGCATCTTCATCGGTCCGCTGATAGGTATGTGTTCTGCAATGACATGAGCCAACAATGAGCTAAGTACATATCTATAGGTGGTGCACTCGAACGCCCTGCGGATAAGTTCGCATCAACCTTTGGCAAACTGCAGTTCTGGCATGACTATCCCTATGCGCTTCCCAACTTTGTCGTATCGGCTCTCGCTATCTCTGCAGCAATTACAACGATGCTTTTCGTTAAAGAAACACTGCACATCCATGGCGACAAGAAGAAGGCTGCAAAATCCACCATGTCTACCTGGGAGCTGATCAACCGGCCCGGCGTCATGCGAGTACTGGTCGTATACAACTACGTAATGCTTATGGCATTCACGTTCACAGCCGTCTTTCCAGTCGCCCAGTACACACCCGTCAAATTGGGTGGCCTCGGCTTCACTGCAGAGCTTATCGCTGCATGCACAGCGTTGAACGGAGTATCTCAGGCAGCCTGGCTACTCGTTGTATTCCCTGCGCTACACAAACGCGTAGGTACTGGCTATGTACTCTATCTATGTGCATCAGTCTGGCCACTTCTATTCATCGTCGGTCCGGTATATAATTTCCTACTCCGGCATGGGCATACTACCATCTTCTGGGCTACTGGGCCACCTCTTCTAGTCCTTGCAAGCGGAGTGTCGATGGCCTTCAGTAAGTCTCTTGACACATAGCCAACTTGCCTAGCTAACACATATGACAGCCAGCGTCCAGCTCGCACTCAACGATATATCTCCGTCACACGAAACCCTCGGGACGCTCAACGCTGTCGCACTTGCGGCGCAGAGTGGCATTCGATCAGTAGCCCCGGCTCTTGCGACCAGTATCTACGCTATTGGCGTCAAGTACCATATTCTGGGTGGTCAACTTTTCTGGCTTTGCCAGCTCGTTCTGTCATTCGGCTTGTTTGGGCTGTTGAAGCTGCTTCCTGCGAAGGCTAGGGGGGACGTGAAACCGAAGCTGTTCAACGGCAGTGCTTGATGCATGGTTCTGTATAAATGGAAACACTACTCCTGCGCATGTCGTTTTGCCGACTGATATCGGAATAAAACAGGAGGCTCTTATATGCATGGATCTACTGTAAACTGAGGGGATGCTGTGGTAGTGTCGCTTGCGTGTATGGAAGCACATTGCCCACAATGAAGCATTGCAGAAAGACTTGAGGAACGAATATCATCGAAGGCTTACGAAAAGGCAGTTGCAAAGCTTACTCCAGACAATAGACACAAGATTTTCGCAAGCGCCGTAAGAATCGCACATTCAGCTCAAGTCAACATCTTACTATGGGCTAACTACACTAAGATTTGCACCTGCCTTATCTGGAGCCTGCGAAGACCTTCAACCTCTAATAGGCAAAGATAGTAGATTGAAGATGTTTACAGAGACAGTAATTAACTTCATAGGGTATAAATTTGCGCACATACTCTGACTGTGTAATCTAGATCACAGCCGATGGTTTGGGGGCTCAATTTAGCTTACGGGGGCGCAGCTGCCAAGCCTGCGTAGGCTGACACTACCTAGGTGTAGCTCATGCCCAACCTCAGCACTTCGCTTCCTACTCTACACACTCTCCATATTTCTTCCAACCATGAGACTCATCGACGTCAAGACGCAGAAGCTCGAAACCCGGAAGCTCGAGGACTTTACAAGCGGCACGCTCTCATATGCCATCTTGTCTCACACATGGGGTGCCGAGGAGATTACCTTCGATGGGATGAAGACAAAGCCTGATAAACAAAAGGCTGGTTGGAGAAAAATTGATCTATCATGCAAACAAGCAAAGGAAGATGGATATGACTACGTTTGGTGCGATACTTGCTGCATCGACAAAAACAGCAGCGCTGAGTTGTCGGAGTCTATCAACTCCATGTTTCGCTGGTATCAGGAAGCAGAAAAGTGCTACGCTTTTCTTGAAGATATTCAAGAAGTGGAAGAACTTACAAAAGCCAAATGGTTCACGCGAGGCTGGACTCTTCAAGAACTCATTGCGCCGAAGAGTCTCGTGTTCTACGTGTCCTGCGACACCACATGGCGAGAGATTGGTACCCGAGAGGAGGCGACAATGGCAAAGAAAATTGCAGGAATAACTGGAATTGACGAGTCTTTTCTACGCGGTGTAGATTCTACGGGCCATGTTCATGGAGCGAGCTTTGCCAAACGAGTGGCTTGGGCAGCGGATCGAAAGACGGAGAGAAAGGAGGATATCGCATACTGCCTCATGGGTCTTCTTGATGTCAACATGCCGCTGCTCTACGGAGAAGGAGGTGTCAAAGCATTCAGAAGATTGCAAGAAGAATACCTCAAAGTCCATCCGGATCAGTCGTTTCTCGCGTGGCTTCTTCCTTCAGGAGACGAAGAGCCAAGGACCACCTCAGATGGCAACCTCCTCGCCGGCCATCCCGACGACTTTCGAAAGTGCAAACGGATATCACTGGCAAGTGATGACGCTGCTCCATTCACCCTGAACAATAAAGGGCTGCAGATTCGCCTACCGCTATACCAGAACCGAAGTGTCGATGCCAAACGAAGTCCAGAGTATTTCGCCGTTCTCGCCTGTTACTCGGACGCGCAACCCGAGTATCGAATTCGCATGCCTCTATGTGCTGTGGAGAGGTCTGCCGAAACACTTTCTTTCTTGCCAAGCAGTCAGCACCATCCTGTCTCGACAGACGAGTTTGACAACGCACGTTTGACGAACTGCTTTATACTCAGAACACCACCGCCTTTAACCCCCCGGTTACTGTCAGTCAACGGCTTATCCGAATTGATCTCGTGGAAACCAAAGATCGTCTATCTCAATCCATCGACTGGGACTTGGGATTGTCTGAGCAAGCCTGGAGATCTGGATCCGAGCATCCTGCGCCCCGAAGTGAGCTCACAATTTCCGCCCATCCGAGTGCCCGACCAACGAGAGTGGGCCAGCTATGGGGTCCTTCTTCATCCTCCGTCTCAATACTTGGACAATACGAGCAGTGACTGTGAGAATACACCGTGTTTGAAGGTTCTGATACGAGTGGACGTTAGATTCGAGAGGCGATATGAAGTCAACATACGCATTCAACAATTCCACATTGTCAGAAATGAGATCCCGACAGACTTGGATAATTTCCCTAGCATACCGTCCACCGGAACGTCTAGCTCGCGCTCCCAGGTCGTTTCCATGCCCACCCAACTACCCACTCAATCATCAGAAACAATCCATGCATCGGCCTCGTGGGAGCGTATTTCGAGCCAAGACCTACTGTCTGTGAAAATCGATCTGGAATCAGTCGATAGGCATCGTGCGCATGAACTGTATGCACTTTCGATCAGTGCATTCAACTTACTGATCACTAAAGATCCGTGGGTGCACGCCCTCTATGGAGCCATAGCTATGCTGGTCTTAGTGATATTAGGGCAGCCGAATGCGTTTCCGTTCGAGGCGCTCGGTCTTGGTTTTTCCGTTATGTCGTTCTACTTTATCACACTTCAGGAAATGCCGTTTTCGGGTTACATACGACCAGAATACAGGTTGGTATATTGCCGCCTACCGTTCGTCCTAGCGTTCTTACTACTCAGTAACAAAAACATTGTCGAATACAATGACGTGCCCTCTGCTCGATACTACGGAGCCCTACACTGGGCTTTGGCGAGTTTGTCCGCATGTTATGTGTTAGAGACATTCGTGAGGCGTATGGGATATAGATCTCAATATGAGGAACATGTATATACCCAGGAATTGGACCCCAGCACTGGACTTGGAAGTCTGTTGTTAGATGACACAATATGATAGGCGACGGAAGGAACTGTACTGTGCAATTGAATAATTGAAATCTACGCGAATCTTCACAAACGAGTAGTCTCTCTAGATGTGCGATGTAGAAGTCTCGTTTCATCTAGAACGGAGCAGCTTGTTGCAAGTATTCGTCTTAACGTGGGCTGCAGACCCGTTCAGGTTGCTCCTGGTATGAGGCGAGAACGCGTAACTTTCCATCACTCATCTCCAGGGCTACCTTCCAGCACCCAAGCCACCAAGACTGTCGCAAATTCCCGAGCCACAATGATGTACAACACCACTGCAACCCTCCACGTCATCCCCAAGAAGCAAAGTAGCACCTCTAACGGCCCGTCTCGGCATCATCGACCCGCGCCGACAGCACCACTACAACCACCCGAGCCATGACGTCCTCCAACCCACGGAAGCTGAAACACGTGCAGTCACGATAAGGCTACACAAGCAAGCAAGCATTGCTTTGCACCAAGTCCCAGCCCCCCAGCCATCGCTTATCTGCGCTTCCCCGTCGCAGCTCGTGCAGCCAGAACATCGGCGTGATGACATCGAAGGCGGGATGATCACACAACACCCAACCACCCCCCAGCCAGAAACACGCAATTCTCTGCCCAGCCAGCCAGCGTGTCCAAAAGCCGCCCGCGGACACACACCCCGTGCGATCGACATTGCGTCCTGCGACGCAAAAAGTTGCGGCTAAACAGCTGTCGTGCACGGCTTGCGATACGTATCGTGAGGAAAACGTAGACTCCGCAAAGCGGCGATCAAACGTCATGCATCGTGATAAGTGAGCATGAGTCGGGACTGTCGCACAGTCACGCAGTTCCCGATTCAAGTTTTCTTTTTGCACATCCTCCGTGTTCGCGTCGGGAGAACGCTGCGCGGGAGTGGTTTTTATTGAAACGTGTATCAATACAAACGGCATCCATGTCAGGAGCAAAGTAAGGCTGCTAAGATGTGGGCGACGAAACACTCCGGGCAGAAAATGCGTGACAAGCAATTGGCAAGCCTTTTTTCCCCATTGTCAGAGCGCCTCAGGATCGGGAGACTCGATCAAGGCGCGACGCGTTGTGCTGCCGATGCGAAGAAGATGCGACAAGCGTCACAATGGCATCAGCCATCGTCGTCGTGAACGATCCGATGCGACGCGCTGCGATGGCATGGGGGGCTTGTCCACGGGTATGTCACTTTGCCCAGACAGGCGCACGCGGAAGGTTTAGTTCCAACCGTCACGGAGGCTCGGCACGCTATTAAGGCCACCCAATATAACCAATACACCACTGGATCGCGACGAAAACGTTGGCCGGAGATGCGCATCACCATCTAGCCCAACCTCTTTTCGAAGTAGTCTCTTCGGGGGTACTGTTAGTTCGTAGGCTTTACGTGGCAGACTTGGAATATTGCGATGCGATACGGAAAAGGAGTACAGCGACCGTGTCTCGATCTCTTAGTCTCTCGAGAATGCTATTGGGTGGGTGAGCAAGATAGCTAATGTCGTCCTAAGTAATCAACTGCTTCACCGTGCATGTGTGTCACGTTCGCCTAAGCATTACATGCCTTGCGCGAGCTGCTGCACAAAGTATGTCATGTTCGCGATAGCTTGCATGGGCTTGCCCAGCCGTTGGTTGGTGCATTAGTAGAGAGAGGCGATGGCATGCAGCTGTCGCTTTACCCCGCTTGGGAACTGGCAGAGAGGGTGAGCTACCACGAGCTATCTACCCCGCGTGCTGTTATGGTTTGCTCTGCGCAGAAGTCGTAAGTGGCTTGACTTGGGTATGCATGCTGTGTGACCACCAGCTGTCGTTCTTATCGGCGTTGTGTTGACGGAACGTAAGGCGGGTGACTAGCGGCAATTGGAAAGCCGTGAATCTTTCCGATGTACTAGCGACGCGTAGGACTTCGCGTGAACTTTGTTGCACAGAAATGATTGGGGGAATTCATTGAAGCTCAAGATGGAATTCAAAACAGAATTTGAAGTAGAAGAAGTTGGCTCACGTCAAGCAGGTCACAGCGATGATTGCAATCGGGGTATTAATTTGAGACAATGAAATTATGCTTCTTGGTATACATGAGAAGACTAGCAAGACAGTGATGAAAAATTAACCTTGCTTCAGGTGGGTTCATCAATCCCGTACAAATATCCAAATACACATCGCGTCATGGTTGAGTAGCGACCCTAGTTTACTCGTCATCCTCCTCTTCAACAGCACGGGGAGCAAGGACGTAGCGGGTTGTGCCGTGCTTGTCCTTGCCGTGCTCGAGAGACAGCTTGCTGAGGGCAGCAATCATGTTCTCAATGGCAGGGTTCTTGCGGCTGCGGTCCTTGCGGCCGAGGGTGTCGAGCCATGCAATGCGGTTAAGCATGTAGTAGACAATGGCGATGATGATGGTGACACCAATGGAGTAGGCCCAGACGACAACGACGGTGACAATGTCGACCCATCCGTCGTCACGGAACCTGCTGTTGATGGTGGGAGGGTTGGTCTGGTAAGGAGCACCGGACATCCAGCCGAAGAGGGTGAAGATGGTCGCGAGAGCGTCGACACCGAGAATAGCGATAATCAGCTGGAATGAGGGGAAGGTCTTGCCACCACGGGTAACGAAGATCAACCAGTTCTCAGTAAGAGCAACCTCGAGGAAGAGAATGGGCTGGATAGCACCGAAGTTCTGGATGATACCTCCGCTGGGGATGAAGAGAGTACCACGGACGATCCAGGTACCAAGAGCGAGGAGGAGACCGAGAATGACGGAGATGAACCAGATCTTGGGCAGTTGCCATTCGACGGGACGTTGCTCAGAGTGGGCATTGTCGTAGGCGACAGCGACGGTGGCCAAATCAGCGAAGAGGGCAAGGAAGACGATGAGCTCAGCGCGGATGGTCTCGTTGAGGATGATCATGGAGGTGACAAGGTAGACTTCCAAGTGCAGGCAGAGAGCGATACGGTACTGGATGTAGGCCTTCATACGCTGGAAAATCTGGCGAGAAGTCTTGATAGCCAAAACAATGGTGGAGAGACCGGGGGCAAGGAAGACGATATCAGCGGCAGCCTGGGCAGCCTCGGTGGAACCCTCGACGGCAATACCACAGTCAGACTTCTTGAGCGAAGGAGCGTCGTTGACACCGTCACCAGTCATGGCAGTCAAGTGACCACGCTGTTGGAGCATCTCGACGACCTGGTACTTGTGCTCAGGGAAAACTTCAGCGAAACCGTCGGCGCGCTCAACTAGGTCGTGCTGGGTAGTACCAGTGAGACCACCGCCGATGAGCTTGGAAGAGTTGTAAACCTTGGTACCGAGAGCAAGCATCTTGCAGGTCTCCTTAGCGATGGCAATAGCGTCACCAGTCAACATCTTGACGGGAACACCAAGCTGCTGGGCCTCAATGATGGTCTGGGCGGTATCCTCACGAGGGGGGTCGAACATGGACAAGAGACCGAGAAGGATCCAGTCACCGTCGTTCTTCTGGTAAGCGACACCGAGAGATCGGAAACCACGGCGAGCGAACTCAGCGGCCTTCTCCTTGTAGAGGGTAGCGGTGACCTCGTCGCAGTTGGCAAGGTTGACAATGGCCTTGGGGGCACCCTTGGCGCAGACGTACTTATCGCCGCCCATGTGGCAGACAGCAGTGATACGCTTGGAGACGGGGTCGAAGGGAGTGAACTTCTCAGTCTTCCAGCCCATGTTGAGGATCTCGCGGGCCTTGGGGTAGCGGCGGATGGTAAGAATGGTAACCTTGTCAATGGGGTCGAGCGACTTCAAGTTGTGGGAAGAAGCAAGAGCAGCGACAGCCATCATCCAGTTGACGTCCTGGCCCTCAGCAACGTAAGGCTCACGGAGAGAGAGCTGGTTAGCGGTGAGAGTACCGGTCTTGTCAGAGCAGAGAACATCGACACCGGCAAGCGACTCGATGGCAGTGAGCTTCTGGACAATAGCCTTCTGCTCAGCGAGGTAGGCAGCACCGACAGCGAGGGTGGTGGTGGTGACGACGGGAAGACCGACGGGGACACCGACGATGAACATGATGAGGGCGTAGTGGAGAAGGGTGACGGACTTGTCGGTTCCCTCACGGGCCTTAGCAATGGGAATGTGACGGAAGAAACCACCAATCCAGGCGAGCAGGATGAAGAACATGACGAGGACGAGAAGCGCCGTTCCGATGGAGTTCATGATAGCCTTGAAGTGACCCTGGTCCTGAGCGCCCTGAACG